CTACTTCTACAACTGCTGCTACTCTTGCTGCTGAATAGCATTTGCAAAGCGCAAATTCCCGGTCTACAGCAAGTTTTATACACTTTACAAACTATGTTATTTCTCCAGGAGACCTAATAGCGTTCAGATACAATCTGTCACAACTTCTTAGAAAGCATACTTTGCCATATTTCATTATGTTCCTAGTTTCTTCTACATAATTTACTAGGGCGGTGATGTCAAAATGCATAAGTTCTTGGTCTGATTTTGTAAAGTAAGAAGTTAATGTTTAACGCCCCTATTAACACTATCATGTTATTTAAGAGGTGGGACCTCTAAATTTAACGTCCGTCTCCGAAAGGACCGTTTAATTTTGTGTAAAATTGAAGATTGTGAAAATTCAATATGTAGGTGGATGGTTTGAACATTTCAGCTTCTTAAAGTTGTTGAAGATGGCAAAATTTGGCGCTGGCTGTGCTATAAACAGGTTGACAAGCACTGGCCTCCTGCGTGTCTCGGGACGAAGACTTTTCAGACTTGGGAATTTGTTCTCGGAGTCATGAATCAAACAAACAAACCATCACAGGTTGAAATTGTTCGTTGATGATCTGTTGTGGCTTGCCCTTTCATCTATTCGGTGTCACTGTTATCTTTATCCTTTCCTGCCGAGACATGTGCGCTTTGTAGTGTAGTGACTTTAGCTCAGCTTTCTGTGTGGTAGCGTTTTATTGGGCTCCGTCTCCACACACCACGTCCGCCAATAAAAAGCATCTTACAGTTTGAGTTTCACTTACGCCCAAGTATTATTTCATTGAAAGTTTTTCTGAATTTTGAACTCATCCTGACGTACATGAAAATGTTCACTGACGAGTTGGCCGCTTCCATCAAGTGGATTATCGTCCAGCTGACTGTGTGGAGATTAGAGTAATGGTTCCCTTTATTGAAGTCTTTCACTAACGCCATAGCTAGTTGTATAATGTTACTGGGAATGTAACTGACGATGAAAACAACTGACAGGACTAATATCATTTTGGTGACTTGCTGAGACTTGGCGCTTCTTGTGTTCACCGCGGTTTTATTGACCCCCTGAGAACCGTCGCCATCAGGGTTGTGCGAGACGAGGTTGCTGAATTTTTTGGTTTGTCTTTGGAGGCTTATGACAAGGATCAAGGAGCAGACAACGACAAGAATATACGAGACACTTGTGAGGAGGACTCCGACGATGAACGAAATTCCATCAACGTCACCGCGCTCTTCACGGTACACAAGGCCGAATACTGTTTTGTTCGTCTCAGGCTCAAATTTCCAGCCGAGCATGCTGCTGTAGTAGGTTGGGGTGATGCTGCATGCCATGAGGACGTAAATGACCAAGACGGTGGTGCCCACTCGCCTGGGAGTCACGACTGTTTTCACTTTCAAGGGCCAAATGACGCAGAGACACCGCTCAAATGTGATGAGAGCGGTAATCCAGCTGGTGACTCTAGTGAAACACAACCTAGGCCAGCCGAAGGCCAGATACTCTACTTCTGGAGCTTTGAACGGAAGGTCAAGACTAGAGATGAGAGGGTTATGGAAAAGTGTGATGAAAATAAGAAATACTAGTCCACACAAGTCAGCTACTGCCAAGCCTAAGAGTGAGATGTTTACCGTATCTTTTAGCCCCATGCGAAGGAACACGATGATGTTGATGGCGTTGGTAATTATGCCGAAGAGGCTGATGATGCCACAACCAAAGACCCAGTTGGTATAAACGAGGATTGTCAAGGCTTTGTCGCTTATCAGCTTTGGCGGTTCGGTAGTGTATAACACATTCGTCGCGTTATTCGTTGTCCACTCCATTGCTGTTGAACTTCTAACGTTTATTGATTTCTGATGTCCTTTAACGCCGAAACGAGATTTAAATTCTGGCAATGGACCAAACTTAACGCTTATTTAGTTTAGGAAAAACTCAAAAGGATATTAGAGCAAGAAAGAAAAAGCCCAATATTCAAAAAGCTGATTCTGAGAATATTCTTGCGAGGCTGGAGGTATAACTGAGCCGTGTACTTTCCAACAGAAATCAGCAAAGTGCTACTGGGTGTACGGAGAGAAAAAGCAAACGCCTTTGCCAGTTTTTTTTTTAAATCTGGCGAAAGTGCGTCCAATGTTCTCCCAGTCTCTGTTCCTCGCGGCAAAAAACTATGCCAGAGCCAGCACACATAAAAGAGAGCAGCAAACACGACGAGGCTTGCTTTAGGAAGACAGTCTTTCCTTCAATAATGATAATCATAAATAGCGTTTGTATAGCGCATATATCCCCGCTCGACAGCAAGACCTATATTACGCGTTTTACACTATAGTAAATACAATGTCTTATGTGAATTGTGCACGGTTTACATAATATAATTTTTGAACTATGAAAATGTCAAATTAGGTCAGCAGTTATCTTAAGTCTAAATACCACAATTGGATTTTCTGTTGATGTTTAATGAAACACTGGAACCCTCGAGCGATTTCAGTAAAAAGGGGAGTTCGAAATAAATTAGATGTTAATAATATGAACTACTGAGAGTCGTAACCAAGAAAGCGTATAATATTTATCTGACAATATCTGCACTTATCTTATCACTACGACACATCGCTGAAAAAAGAATTGATTGCCTGTGGTTTGTGTGCATAGACTTCAGATTTAAGTATACAGATGTTTTATTACGGAAGGTGCCACCACAAACGCCGAGAGGTTTACACCTATTTGCAATAGCAGCTTTCAAAAATTCAAACCAATAGATAGGCTTTGTTGTCAGTAGTTCCCCCCCCCCCCAACCCCTGTATTTGACATTTCTCAAGCCTTTTACAAATTATCGCTTAAACCGGGAGAAACAAAATGTCTGTTTAAACAAATCGTGAGCGTTATGTTGGGCAGGAGGAATGGCGATAGAGAGTAAACAGAGTAATTATTTTTGTGGAAGGATGAAATTACACAAAGCCTTTGTGCTCGAGGTGTTATAATGGCGATTTTTAAAAAATAAATGGCACCATCTTAGAACAAAATGAGGTTTGTAATTTCTATGATTACTGCATGTGGCGTTACCTTTGTCGATGGAAGCTTATGTGAAGATGTGAAGTCTTAGGTAAAGAGAGTGAAAAAAAGAGGTTAGGAAAAACAGATTTTGAATCTTGTACTGGTACTTTTTTTCCCTAGTTCTTTTGCTGGGTTTTTTTTCTCAAAGACTTCTTGAAGACAGGTTAGTCACTACAATCTTTTGTGCCACGTGCATTAAAATACACGTGAGGTTAGTTAGGGGTGAAGATCCTAGTTTGGAAGAAAAAAACGAGATTTAAAAAAAAGTAATAATTGTTCCTGTTTTTACTCATTAGCCTACTTCTATTCCTCCTCTTCATCCTCTCACTTCATTCTCAATACACTTTTAGGTTCACCATGCATTTCTGTAATGCTTTTTAGATCAGTTATTTACTATGACGTCATATTTTTCACCTTTAAAAAAAATATAGTGAAATGTTTGTCCATTTTATAGACTGATCTGTAATGAAAAATGACATTTTAGTTTATGTAGTTAACATTCATGTGACCTTCTTCGTTCGGTCCCAGACTAGGGCATAGATCTAGAGATTGTTAACTAAACATTGTCTCGCATAATGCAACAGATGTTACGAGTATTGTGGTTTTCCCAGTTCAAGCTTTGTGTCTGCTGCCTGTCGAGCTGCTGCTTTCTCATTTCCACAGTGCTTTTAGTTATAGTTATAGATATTGGTCGCAATTTTATCGGGAGTTTTCGGTTTTGCTTTTGCGTGTGTGTATGTTTTTTTTTGTAGGAAATAAATTTCAGGTTTGACTATAGTCCGCTTGTTTCTTAGTTTTACTAAGATGTTTACTACACTTGCAGCAAAATAAGGCCATAGCCATAATATAAGTGCCGAATATTAGAGATGCTACAGGGAGGGTAACAAACCCCCGAAAAGAAGAGGACGAGAGATCAGGACGGTAGATGTTTGATAGGAAAGAAGGAGCAAACCACACCAAAGCACCCGCCAACTACCGACTTAAGACTTGTTTGATATTCATCTGCAAAGATAGCCTATTCATAACGACAATAATAATATTCACGAACTGTTCCTCCAGCTTTTACACATTTACCGTAAAGTTTAGAGGGTCAATTCTGAAAAGGTTTGAATTTGAAATAATTATATGGGCATCCGGTAAAGGCTTTGATGCCAGCCACCAGATCGCGACCAGCACCCCATTTGGTGGACGAAACACTCGCCTTACTCAGTCGCACATTCACCGCTCTTGCCGCTTCTGTCTTTGAATTTACCACCACCTTCGTCGAGGAATGCGAACATTCAAGATATTGCCACTGGTAAATGAGAATTTTAAAATTCCATCATTACGTCGGTCCTGGGAAAGACTGGAAGAAAAACTGAGACAGACAGAGAGACCGACAGACAGGCAGACCAAGAGAGAGAGAGAGAGAGAGAGAGAGAGAGAGAGAGAGAGAGAGAGAGAGAGAGAGAGAGAGAGAGGGAGAGAGAGAGAGAGAGAGAGAGAGAGATAGATAGAGAGAGAGAGAGAGAGAGAGAGAGAGAGAGAGAGAGAGAGAGAGAGAGAGAGAGAGAGAGAGAGAGAGAGAGAGAGAGAGAGAGAGAGAGAGAGAGAGCATTCGTACTTCGACCGAAGATGCCATTTTTGTGTTTTTTGCGCAATATGACTGGGTTCAACTAAATTCGATTTTGTAGCCATAATTTGTGTTTTTTAGGTTACGAGTCATCTTCTTCTTCTTCTTCTCCTCCTCCTCCTCCTCCTCCTCCTCCTCCTCTTCTTCTTCTTCTTCTCCTCCTCCTCCTCCTCGTCTTCTTCTTCTTCTTCTTCTTCTTCTTCTTCTTCTTCTTCTTCTTCTTCTTCTTCTTCTTCTTCTTCTTCTTCTTCTTCTTCTTCTTCTTCTTCTTCTTCTTCTTCTATTATTATTATTTTTTATTAATATTGTTATCATATATCCTTATCATCATTATTCTATTATCTCCAGCCAAGGCGTGCCGTCCTACTCAGGACAACCTCCACCGCAAGCTGGCTACCCACCCCAGGGAGGTGCACCGGGATACCCCCCACAAGGAGGTGCACCAGGATACCCCCCACAAGGAGGTGCACCAGGATACCCCTCACAAGGAGGTGCACCAGGATACCCACCCCAAGGAGGTGCACCAGGATATCCCCCACAAGGTGCACCAGGATACCCCTCACAAGGAGGTGCACCAGGATACCCCTCACAAGGTGCACCAGGATACCCACCCCAAGGAGGTGCACCAGGATACCCACCCCAAGGAGGTGCACCAGGATACCCACCCCAAGGAGGTGCACCAGCAGGTACTATCAATTCCAAACAAACAGTCAATCCATTTGTCAATCAGGAAGCCGGTCATTGCGAGGAGTTAATTTTATCAGTCATTCAATCACTGTGACTGATGCTTAATTGATTAATCACCTACTTTCTGAGCAAGTCTATCGATAAGATAAGATAAGAAAAACTTAAGGTAAGCCAAGATGAGATAAGATAAGATAACATTTTATTGATCTTCACAAAGACAAATTAGCTGTAGCATGGTAAATACATGCACAGGCACACGCACACTCACAGGCTAACTCACACGGACATGCACTAATTGCTGACACACACTTACACTGTTAGTGAATATCAATCAGTCATCTAATCTACCTGAAACTTGATTTTTTCCAGAAACTATGTTTAAAATATTCTAATTAAACTGGGCTTTCTTTGAAATTTTCACTCAGTCTGTTTCATCTCAAATTGCATATTGTTTTTTAAATTATTTTTTTTCTCTACTCATAAACCTTTTGTATTTTTTTCTTTGGATATAGATCTATTTATATTTTGGCAGTTACTTCTTTTTTTAAAGCCTGTCTATTTGTTTGTCTATCTGTCAAGCTTTGCAGGTGGAGACTTCGTCTGAAGTTAAGATTGTTTTTGTCTTCAGTCGAGCTCTTTTACAGCACTCACCAAATAAAAATCAGTTTCTAAGTTCTTTGTTTGCCACTGCCAAATTCAAACTTCACCTAGTCCAGTTGTTCCTTGCTGTAATAACTGGATGTTCTGCTGATATTGTCAGCCCCTTACTATGATTCTCTGTTTGTGTTTCTTCATAAAATAAAGCATTATTTTTTTTTCATCACTGTAAGGCTTGTTTTCTTTTCCGTTCCTTCTTCATTATATAATAGCCTGTTTTTGATCTCCTTCTGTTGGTACTCCAGGAGCTGTTCCAGCCTACAAAGGAGAGGTCCCGTCGCAAGATGTGAGAGATGACCCCAACATGGCCGCCCCCCAGGCCTCGGCTCCTTCCCTTGACATGATGGATCACTTGCCAGGTTATGACAACATTGGATTTGATGGAGGTGAGTTTGCTCTAGACTACATATCAAATGTTTTGCGTTAGACTTCGTCATACACCACTTTTCAGAGTAGGGTATGGCAGTCTTACACTGAGCAGTTGATATAAATGACTAAATGGATTCAACAAAAGGCGCAAAAGAAATGAAATGAAAATTCAAGTCTCAGTGTACTTTAAAGTAGGTGCCCTCTTGTCCTGAATATAAAGCTGGTAGTATCACAGAACAAGCAGCTTGTCCACAGGTTTGCTCCATAATACATTTTGGCTAATCAAACTGGGAACTACTCCCCGGGGCGGTGCTACTGACTGAAGTGTCTTTAGGCCATTCCCAAAGGGGGGACATGTTGTTGTTGTTAGCGATCCAGTAGCATCTGAGCGTTAACTCTTCTGCATTAAGGGGGGACATTAACATGTTCTTATGCACAGTAGAATTGTAATTGTAAATGGATTGATTCATCAATGTCATGCTCATAACTGTGCCTGAACTGTAACAGGGAACTGCTGCTTTTTCTTTCCTAATCCTTTCTATCGTCATTTTTTCCTCTACTTCTTTTGTATGTTTGTCACTCTTGTGACCCGCTATTTCTAGGGTGCCTTGATAATCGAAGCAGACTTTGTCCTGTTGAAGCTAGAGAGGTGAGCAGAGTAAGCCTGATTCCCTGTAAGGACTTCTCTGTCGACATCCACCCCTTGGCGCTCATATGACCTTATGCAGTTGCGAACATCGTAAAACCTCTACTAAAACAAACAAAAACTGGGAACTAATTGTGTTATTGGGAGGACTGCTGCTGAAGAATCTCTAGGCAAAATGAAAGGTCTTAAAAAAGTGGGACAAATAAATGGAGTCGATACTTTTGTGGTACATGCTCAGCATGATCTACTAACATTTTATGTTGTATGTAATAGATGTGTGTATTCAAACTTGAATCTTTAATTGTTTTAGACATGATGTAACAGTTTCATCGGTAGCTATTATACCTGACTATAATTTTTTTTTAAATCAATGAAGGTTTGGTGAGGTGAGATAAGATAAGATGAAGTGAGATAAGTTTTAATAAATTCAGTTGCATAAAACATAGAACTATTAATTGTCTTGTAGACTATTGTACAGGGTCAACATCACTTTCTACCCTATGTAAGGTTATAGAAGAGGCAGGACTTCACATATTATGCCCATCCACTTCACACCATCTCCTTTTTACAATGGTATAAACCTACACTTACATGCATGTTTTTATGCATAGCCTACAGCAGGGAAATGGGGGGGGGGGGGAGTGCAAAGTTGACTCCCCATATAACTCAAGGAATTTGAACCAGGTTCATCCACATGATAGTGTGAGTTCAGCTTGATGCCAACTGAGCTAACATGCTGAGAGTAAACTTGAATGATTTATGTCAGCAGTGTCATATTGTCAGCATTAGTACACAGGAGCTGAAGTTGTTGGTTTTTTTTGGAGAAAGTAAAAATAAAAGAATGCTCAAATCAGAACTAAGACTCGGGAACTTATTATTTTTCAATTGAAATCAAGGAAGGAAGTTTTGAAACAGAACAGGCACACCATTACCCCAGTTGGTGTCGTGCTGAACTACGGAGTGGATCACCCTGGTTTGAATCCCAGACCATGTGTTCTTCAACGGGTTGTTTTGTAGCTGTCAGCCGATTTGGCTCCGTACTATCGAAGACGAACATTAAATCTGGAGGTTTTTGCCTCATAAATAACCTAATAGTGTTGATAGGCCCTAGGGGCATTAAACTCTTATCCTTACACTTACCATGAGACAGAACTATACAAAATTGTAAAATGCCCTCTGATGTCTTTATTCAAACAATGACTTTATCTGGAAACTTTCAGAAATAGATTTAGGCAATTGTGGAATGTTACTGGCTATTGCTATACTTTGATAATCTTCATTGTCGTTGATACTCTCTTTTTCATTCAGTTAAGTCAACTGGTATCTATTTTTATTTCAAGTTTCTCTCCCACCTCCATCATATGAGGAATCACAGAGGGAGGCACCACAAAGAGACAATATTGAGAGGTAAAGGGCTCATTAGTTTAACCATGAATGAACTTTTTACTGTTCTATCCCATTTAGAGAGACCGGACTGTAATTACTCTAATCCGAATGGTCAATGACTGAAGAAGCCCTTCTTGAAGACTTCCTTTACTTTCCCCTCAGACAAACTAAATTAGACTCTCTGCAAAGAAAGACAACTGTGTACTCTCATAAAGGAAAAGTGACTAATGTTAGTTTATTTAATCGATCATCATCTTTCAGACATGATTTGTCTTTATGACCCTCATCACAACTTTAATGAGATATTGTTGATAATATTGTATTTTTATAAAACACTCTCCCTCACACACACACACACACACACACACACACACACACACACACACACACACACACACACACACACACTCGCACACAATATTTATACAAATAAATGTAATGTATAAAGCAATGTTGTCATTCTGTTATACAAATTGATAGAGATAAGTTGGGTTTTTTTTGTTGAATATGATATTATACTGATGGCAGGTTTGATTGTATTTTTACTTTTCATCTGATGCTATTTTTTAGTCCTGACTTTCAAGAGCTGCCTCTAAGAACTAGAATTTTTTATTATTAATTTTTCACTTTCTCTGTGGTTTATTTTTGCTTTCTCAACCAGCTATGTGTAAATGTACTAAAACTAAATATCATACCCTCTGTCCTTTTAGTGTACCCACAATCTCAGAGGAAGAGGCTCGTGATGCGTTGATTCAGTTTGTGTCAGAACATTGTTGCTATGGCAAAGGTCCTGCTGAGGAGATGAAGTTCAATGACCTCAATTCATCAAGTGCCTTCCATGTAAGTGTACATTTTTTATGTGACTCTTTTTTTTGATGTGAATGGATTGTTTTCTGATCATGTACTGGTTGCTGCTGGGCAGCCTGGTGCCTGTTCCTCTTCCTTTGCAGTGCTACGAATTGTCAGATTTACTTTCTGGGGAAATGCTATAACCATCATACCATTTCTTTTTTAATAAAAATAGTTTGTCCGCCAGTGTCTGATGATGACCGATGCATCCACTTCACACCATCTCCTTTTTACAATGGTATAAACCTACACTTACATGCATGTTTTTATGCATAGCCTACTTGCAATGTCTAGGTATCTTAAGGGAAAACCCGGGTCGGCGATCCAAGGCAATATCGATACAATTTTTCAAACTATCCAACTTTTGTTTTTTGCGGAAAAACATCCTTTGACATCTGTTCTATCAAGTCAAAATGAAGAAACTGTTGAAAAAACATCCTAAATGATCTAAAAGGGCGTTTGAAAAGTGCAAATTGCTCTAAAAATCCTTTTAAAAATCCCTGTTTTTTCTGTTTTTCTAAAAATCTACTTTTTGACAGATGTGACCTCATGGGTGCAAGGAGTTTTCAAAAACTACAGAAGCTAGAAGCTTCAAATTTGGTGTACAGGTGCTTTAAAATCGATTCTGGGGATCTATGAAAGGGAATCGGGAAATATTGGTAACATGAGGAAATATTCATTTTTTTGGTAATATGTACCTCAAAATTTCGTCAACTGACTCTAGTGGGTCCAATGACTTTGGGCTCACTTTTTTAGTTTTAAAGATAGGTCAAAATCCTTACATGGATCCCCAGTTCATATAGGTTTGTACTTGTGTGCCAAATTTTAGGCTGATAATTCAATATTTACTATGACATTTTTCTGCACTAAGAAACTGGTTTGAAAATCCAAGATGGCCGCCACAGAGACCCATTTTTCAGAAAAATTCAACAAATTTACCCCTTGTACATCCTATTTACCTATGAACTTCTTGCACAATTACATGAAATTGAACAAAAGTCATTCGTTTAGAAAATTTTTCCGGGAGTGTACGTCTCCCCTTAAAGAAGATAGGCTTTTATGCTTATTAAAGATGTCAAGTCCACAGTACACACTACTATCCCTGCTAACCGAGTTTCTATACATAACCATGCAAGCCACTAGAATTCAATACTACAATTTAATGAGTTGCTCTTCCAATACCTAAAATAATATGCAGAAAGTTTTAAATGTCTGTCTTCCTATCTAACTGGAGAAAGATGTTCTATTGGTGTGTCCTCCTAAATGAAGAGGATTGTTTACAAGAGGTGTAACACCACTCCTACAAACTCCCTGTATGTGGGTGGTTGGCAGGTGCTCGGGTGTGGTTTGCTCCTTCTACCCTATTAAACATCTGTCGTCCTTCTATTTCTGTGTTTGTTACTCTCTTGTAACACCTCTATTCTTCAGCACTAGATAACGTTATTGTGTTGCAAGTACCTTTAAACTTAAACTCTTACTAAAACCAAACTTGCAGTACACTCTGGAGACCTTTGGTGAGGGCCGCTCCACCAAATGGGCTCGTGAGCCCTACAAAGGCCAGCCTGTGGTAGTGAATGGACCACCTCCTGGACCCTGGGATATTCAGGCCCCGCCCCCGGCAATGTTCAAGACAACTAAACTGGATATAGAGGTACCCAACACAGCCTCAGTGAAGGTAAGGTCAATTCAATGTGTAAGCAAAGTGACTATAAATGGGTATAACATATATTAATATCATCTTTTTGGAGTCTTTCATTGGGTTTTAGTGTCACTTTTGGATAGTTTATGACTTGACAAAATGAATGTAAACATTTGCGTTTCCCTGATGATCTAATACGGCACAGGTCAAGACAGGGCCTTCTCACTTTACATCAATCAGTCTGTATTTCACTGCCTGTAGAGGAGCTGAAACAGCTGCTTCTTCATTATGGTTGGAAATTTTGGCAAATAACAATTTAAATCCTGGCTGTTCTCATCAAACGTGCTCCCAGACAGGCAGCGAATGATAGTAATTTTGATGACTGTCCTTGACAGACCATCATGTATTTTCACTGAGGATCTTTTCTGTAGGCATTGCCATTGCTCCCTCCACGGAACAACGCACAGAGAGGGGAGGGTGGACGTGGACCACTGTGTCCTAGAACGGCAACAGCGACAGCAGAGCTCTACTTACTTCAATGGATAAATCTCTTTCATTTACTGCTTTTTTCTATGACATGAAGTGAGGATGTTATGTATGGTGTACATGACCAGTAAATCTGGAAAAGCAAATATTTCAGTTCATTTCTCATCATAATCTAGAAGCTTATTTTAATGAGGAAACGAGTGCATAACATGATTTTGGTAATTCAGAGAGTGAGTTTCTGCAAATTCGAAGCCAAAATCCTCTCCGAACAAATTGGTGAAAATCTTGAAGAGAGCAGATACGAGTATATTATCAGATACAGAAACCTCTCCTCAAAACTGAAGGTCAAGAATCTGGCATAAGCAGTGGGCAAATATCAGTGCTTTAGGTAATCTACAATACCTCTACGTTAAGATCCCATTCATTTTTTCATGGTCTGCCAAATTCTAGACAGTTTTTGACAGAATAGAAAAAAACATCTTAAATGTTGGTGTTTTTTCACCTCCATAAACACAATTTAGATCATTCAGTAGGTGAGTTTCTGATCCTTCCTGTGTGCAACAACGAAGCACCTAAGCCCTACACCACTAAAGCTAGTTACAACCTTGAAGAATGTTTTACTACAAGATGGTTCTTTCATTTCTTGTGAAGAAAAGTAACCCATCTTTTAGTACATGTATGAAAAACAATGTTATTGTTGTAATTCCGTACCGCTGTCAGCTGTTCACTCAGCTGAGTTCTTATCAACTATGGCAATATGGCCCCTCAAGCCCAATTTAAGTTAACGAAGCATAAAAAAGCTAGATCTATCACCCCTTCCCCTCCAAAGACAAAGTGTGATAAAAGTTTAAAATTTATAGCAGTTGGTCTTATAGTTCCATTGTCTTAGTGTTTAGTAGTAGTACTAACTTTTTGTCTACTGCTAGACTGCAGACACTTTGTGCCTACGAATCTGCGTTGAACTTGTGGCGCCTAGTTTAGAATAGACTAGCTCTATAATGTGTCTGACAGGTGCAAAGTCTAGAAATCTTCTAACCAACTACTATTGAATGGGATAAACATGTTCAAGTACTCTGTCACACTGCACACTCTAGTGACTCTTTCTATATGTAAGAACATTGGGCAATTGCATTGGTAAATATAAAGGTTTAACAATATTGTTACTATTTTCTCAGGCCCAAAACTGCTTCATTTGTTGCTATAATTATTTATCCTAAATTCAAAATTTAATAGAACCATATAATTTTTATTCATGAAATTGCAATGTGAGTGTTGCAGCAATGCTTCCCTGATTTATCTTCTGTTCTTCCATAATCAGCTGTTCATCAAGTTGGCACACATTTTCAGGTGGTGTCGAAACTGGCGATTATGAGGACACTTTTTGTGGTTGCTCAAAGAGGGGAGTGTACTTTATGACCTTTGCTTTAATTAGTTCTGTAGGAATCTGGTTGCAATGTTTCTCTTCCTCAGCCTTGTCATGCCTGTTTTGCCTCTGGATTTCAACGTTGCTACCGATGCCATGGTAGAGGAAGGGTAAGGATTGATGAGCTCTTGCTTAGTAAGGAATAGATTACTTCCGTAGTCATTATGAAGAATTTTGTAAGACCTTGGGGGACAATGTGTAGAGGAATAGGAAAAATATGTTGTTACCTCTAGGGTCATTTTGCAATCATTTATTTGCTGCTTGATTCCAAAAAAAGCGCATGTTTTATACAGTTTACCTGAGTTGGCTATATACTTTCCTGCAGCATCGGTGACTGGGATTCACGGCTACTGCAGGGCGTTTTAAAAACTGAAGTTGCTTATGTTTTATGGCACTATGATGACTGAGCACTGTCCTTTCAGAGACAGAAGCTAAATAGGAGGTCTGGTCTCCTAACTCAAAATTACTGCTACGTAAGACTGTTGTATTTTTAACTCAGTACAATGAACTGAGCATTTCTTGTAGTGAATAGTTAAATGCGATTCTAACCCAGTACAGTCAAAATTGTCCCAAGAGGGCCACTCATTGTCAAGGAGAAAAGTGTGTTACATGTAACAGGTGGATGTCATAGACAGTGTCATTTAAAAAAAAAAATTTTCAACTCAAGGGGGAATGCAAGACGTGGTCGTTTGTACAGGTGATTGTCTTGGACTGGTGATTGTTAGAGCAGGTTTGACTGTGCCATGCTCCTTTGGGCCTGCACTCACACACAAACCTGTAGTGTAAGTGAAAACATATTTAATTTGCTCACTCTTGACACAAGTGATGGTCAGAGTATGCAGTAAAGTTATTCACAGGCAGAAACTTTGTCTTTGTGAATTCTGGTCAATTCAGTGAACAGGTTTAATGATCTTATTGTGCTCCAAAGGAAGCTATACTAATAATAAACAGTATTGATTCATGTCAGTGATGATGTTCTCAGTCTAATGAATGATTCTCTGAGCTTACAAAAAATTGGCTTTTAAAAACTCATCTTCCACTTTACTGTCATGTTGACGTTAAGGAGCCATTTCTTTTTGAACGGGTCAACATTATAGGGCCGTCGTTTGTGTATTTAATACATGACATTTCTTTCCCCCGATGTGTCTGTATTATGGGATGTGCTTGCAATACAAACAATTTTATAAAGTTAAAGAGCTATTGAGGGACTTCATCTGACTTCAAAGTCTATTGGAAAACAAATGTGAGGCAGCGTGGTGGAATCCGGCTCTCGTCAAGTTTTGGGCATGTAGAGTTATTGGTATCATCTTAAAGATTGTTTATTTGTCTTTATATGGATGAAAAAAATATCCATTTATCTTGAATACAAATCGAGATATTTGCGGAAAAAGAAGGTGGGGTTCACCTATTTTCATAGGTAAAATTAGTGAGAAAATGGCAGCAAAGATTTGTCATTTCCTAAGCTAAAGAGTCCGTGATAACTAAACATTTACACTTTTTGTATCTTTAATCAACGTTTTAAAGAAAAATCAACACATAAACGAGTTCTTTGATAGGTATGAAAAGAGTTTAGCCGAAAAAAAAAATTTGATAAAAATTCACAAACCTGCAGAAAAATGCAAGGTTCTTCACTTTGATTATTTGGACGAGAGCCTGATTCCACCACGCTGCCTCACAAATCATCTTTTGAAATTTGACAAAGCGGCATTGTCTCCACACTTCAGTGAGGAGAAAAATGTGGTGGAAAGAAGAAAAATGTGAGGCATAGTCCATCGAATAGAATTCTCCATAAATGTGTTAAGAAGTTGTGCTGCTCATTAAGAGGAGTTTCATTCAAATTTAGAGAAAAAGTCAACGTGATCTATGCATGCTCCTATCTCAAAAAGCAAAACAAAACTAAACACCAACCTCCCCCCCCCCCCTTTAAAACGAAAAGCAAACAAAAAACAAACAAAAACACTTTTAAAAACCATGGCAGAGATCTACAAAACACCATAGATTGGAGGTGAGAGTGAAAGTACTGATTTCATTTTCTTGTGATCCTTTTGCAGCTGTTTTGCACCTCTTGTAACGGGACAGGACGAGAACATTATTATGAGCAAGGGGAGAGGCTGCACAGACAGTGTGTTTGGTGCAATGGATTTGGTAGAAAAACGTTCGTATGATCTGTTTTTAAAAAATTGTTTATGAGTTTAGTAGATGGTGATATTTCGTTCTTAAAAACATCTAAAAGCCACAAGTTAGGTGGTTGGCAGATAGTAGGTAATTCTATTATTTGATACTGAGAAAGTTAAAGAAATAAAAAATGTGTAAAATGTGTAAGGTGTACAATGTTGATTCTTACAAAATAAAGAAAATGGGTGATACTGTCTTTATTTTCTTCGAAATACACGTGTTTTCGAAATACACGTGTTTTATAGTTAACTTTTCTTTCTTGTCACCTTTCTTTTTTGATGAGCGCAGCAGCAAATGTAACTTAATGAAGATATGTTTATTTCTTTTAATAAGCCCAGTCTTCATAAATGAATGGTAAATGCATCATGTATATTTTCAAGGTCTTTTAGCTAAGTAAGCAAAGACAACTTCTTGATTTAGTCTGCATAATTTAGTTTTGGTTGTAATGGGTTTATAGTCAACATCTTCTAAGGAACTACAATCATAGCTCTACTATTTATCAGCGGTAAACTGTTCAAGCATTCTAAGCCCAAAATTCCAAATAAAATAAAAAAATAAACAGTTTCGTATTTTGTGGTTTGGTTGGATGTGCTTGAGAAATATTGTCAAAATTCATTTTCTATGTGTTCAAAAGAGTAAAAAATAAAAGTATTGTCCTAAACCCCAATTCCCGTCATATTCACATTATGCTACAAAAAATCCTTAGCTCACTGTGTGATGGGCAGCATGTCTGGAAGTGTTTGGTTTTTTTCCTATAGCCACTATTTATGGCCATGCAGCGTACATGGCTGCATTGTCAATCCTACATTTTACTACTACGTTTCTCTTTGATGAGTCAAAACCATGTACTCAATAGCTGGTGAAGACTTGGGTGCTGGCCACACTTACAGAGTAAAGATTTATTGGATTACCAAGACTGGTCAAGTCAAAGTCAAAGAGATCCTGATGCTGAATGGACGAGGATGATTTTATGATGGGCTATTTTATTACACTACCCATACATGCTTGGTTAGTCAGAGAAAACATAGAACAAAGGAAAAGATGCTAGTCTATTGTTATATATGCAGCTCAGTCTCATCTACCATATCAGTATTTCTTCAAAGGGTGTCATAAATTTCCTTCTTTGTAATCAACAATGAACCGCCTCCAGGAAGTGATGTTAAGCATACTAAAAATGTCTATTAATTTGACTAAACTGAGTAAAAGCCTTCCTTTTCTATAGGAGAGGGGCAACAATTTGACATGCTTTCTTAAATGGCTTAGAAGCCTGTCTTTTTTATTTGTTTAATGCACTGGCATTGACTGTATTGTCTCAAATCTATCAACCCAATGCCCATCACAATTACAAAATACAGAAATTTACAGGAATTGAAAAAAAAAATCATTCCGTCACAATCTGTCTGATGTCCATGCCTTTTTTGACAGCTTGGAGCTTTGATTTGGAGATGTATTTGCAATTTTAATACCAACAAATTAATAGATTTGATTGTGTGTAAGTGAGTATGCGGGCATGCAAGTAAATGTGAGAGCACTTGTGTGTGTTCAGATTGGCGCAAGGGTTAAAAAGAAGAAAGAAGAAAAAGAAAAAAACAAAACAAAGATAAGATTCTAACTTCTTAAAGCAAAAAGTTCATAATCTGTACAATGATGACAATTTTAGTTATACTGGGCCACAATTGCAAAAACATGTCATCACAAGATAATGTATTCAACTAAAAGTATAGGTCTATAGGTCTATAGCTCTACCTTCCTTTTAAAAAACAAGAAACAAATTTTCCTTTTGCCTAAAAATTATTCTCCCTGGGCTTAGAATACTTAGAACATATGAACAGATTGCCAACATTATACTTCTTGGACTGCTTTTAATATTAACATCAGAAAGAAATCTTGTGCTTTCAGTACTTTCACACTTATGAAAAATGTTGATACTTTTCTAAGTTTTTTTCATATGAAAGTTTTCCACACCTTTGAACCTTTCAAGTGAATGTTAATGATCTCAGAAGTGACCCTGTAGCTCTTTATAAAGTTTGTGTAGCACAAAAAAATAACTTCACTTTTTTGTAGTTTATCTGAGGTAAAATCAACGTACAGGGTTTTGTTAGTTCAGCTCTATCTATTCAAATTTCTATCACTTTTGGTAGGTTAAATAGAATGTACACTCTGTCTTGCACATAGCGAATTATGGACACAGTGAACATATTTTCAGGTCCTGAATTTTTTCTAATACATGTATTATATTCTTATATTCTAAAACGCAAACATAGAGAAATTTGTATATAACGAAAAGATTTCTACGCCCCATCGATTTCACTCTGTGCTTGACTGTATTTATTTATAATAATAATTTTTTGTGGTTCATTCGAGAATGCTGTACTGTATCCATGTCATTTGTATGTGCAATATGATATAATATACGTTATTATATCCTTTCAGTTGCTACACCTGTAGTGGATCGGGTCAGATAACGTGCAGTGAGTGTAAGGGAAGAGCCAATCTGCGTTGGTTTATCTTGCTCACCATAAAGTGGTAAGAGTCTGCCCCAACCCTGCTTTATATAACAGAGTGTGCAGAGGTCTTGAAAATACAGTGGAGTCCACGTGAACTGAAATCTGCACGACTGCTGGATTTTCTTCGGTGTAACTGATAGCAAATTTAAAAATCTGCTATATGTTTTCTTATGGTAAACCACTGCTTTCAAATTAATGGTGTTCACTTTTAATGGACTCCAATATATGTAGTAAATTCAAATACCTCACAAATAAAGAAAGGTTTTTTCTTTATTCCAACCTTAGAATTGGAGAACGCAGAGTACAGCAAATGCTTGTCAGTGATGTGAGCATTGTCCAACTCTATTTACACGCTGCAGTCATAGTTGAGGACAGAAGCATTTCTGCTGATTCTCCAATAAGCTCAAAATGCTATGTCCCCCCACTTTCCTGTCCCCCTACCTCTACACACATTGCATATAAGCATCTCAAATTACTCGTACTCATAAACCACTGGCATTTTCATACCAATACTGACCCCCCCCAGGAGAACTGACTAAAATCCTTCATGTGTTCAGATGTTTTTATCCCTCTGTAAAATAATATATAAGGGTATGGGTTTAACATTTGCACCAACACTTTTAGGTTATTCATGAACCGGGACCTTTGAATTTAATGTCTGTCTCCGACTGGAAAAAGCAAAACGGGTTGAGAGGCTTGAAAACTGCACAAGATGACTCGAGTTTTAGAACACCCAGTCTTGGATTCGAACCAGGGTCATCCGTTTCATAGTCCAGCATGATACCAATTGAGCCAATGGAATGCCCTGTTCTTCTTTGTGGAGTGGATGTTATGGTGTCGATGAAATAAGACCTCTGATTAGTCGCACAAAATGACTGTGTGTCATAGTTTGATACACAAGTAGCTAAGGTGGGAAAAGAGAGGAAGGAGAGTATATAAGCCTCATTATTTTCTTATTTTGGCCTGAATACACACATATGTTATATATATTATGATACTGCTATGTTTTTTTTATTGTAGAGTACGGAAGGTGTCAGCTGATATATCTCTGTACTTTTATGATAATGTAATTATTCCAGGACAAATCACGTAGAAGATCACATAGTGGAGAGGACAGCGCTGCCCGATGAACTCATCAGGGGCGTCTCCGGGCAGATGGCCTTCGAGGAGACCCAGCCTCGGGTGAGAAGTGTCTCAATGACTTTACACAGAATAATTTCATTACTTTACGTTACACTTTTTCTTACATTAATGAACTTTTAGAAAGTATGTGTGGGCATATATTCATTATTTCACATGTTACAATAATCTTGTTTTTTTACATGTTACATTCTTTGTTATAAATATATTAACCCTTTCGTTGCTAGGGGGTATATGTGGTCCTTCTGTCAGCACTAATTTTCAGCTGGGCTCATTTCCCAGGACAGCAGCGTAATGTTTCAGTGTTAATGGACGTGTGGTCTAGATCTAGATCTAGCGTATTCATGACATATTTTGGACACCGGGTTGTCGATTGCCACTTTTCTCACTTTTCTTATTCCACATTTCTTCCATCTAACTCATAATTTCTAAGAACTTGTAAATTTATCTAAGTCAAAAAGTGAATATATTTTATTTTAAAAAGTCATTTCGATGTTTGCCTTTTACGAGAGCATGCGGCCACCTGCAAACCTAGATCTGTGTTTATTGATCGGTTTCAAGCCTAGCAGTAAAGTAATACTACAAATCTACGCAGCTCTTTTGGCTAAAACTCCATACAGAAGAATTAATGCCAGTGTAGGTAGGTCTTTACTCACAGGAGTTTTCTACTCGACTGACTGTGTAGGACAATAGGGTCAGGTGGTGTTTTTCATGTGAGCACTTCGCAGGTCCGTGTGAAGTCATGGTCATGTCAGCTGCTGTGTTGTGAGTTAATTGAGTGTTCGGAGAGTCACTACATGGCCCCCCACCAGCGCTGACATGACAGGAGGTTCTAGAACCGGGGAGGTGGTCTCACGATACGTCTTGAACGAGAGACCTGCCAGCCTGCTTGTTGTGGTTCCTGTAGAGTAACAGGAGCGGATTGTATAGCTTGGCTAGGCTAGGTTGAATTGTTAGTATTTGCGCTTGGATTCACAAGTGATGAAGACGGAAGTCACCCACATCTTGATGCCTAAGCAACTACTGGTTGCGACAGATCCACAAAAGCTGGTTTGAGTCGGTCGACAGAGATGTGTTCTGCGTGACCACTTTGATCGACAAGAAAGGTTTTGTCATGCTTTTCTAAAACCTTGTACAGACCAGTATACGGGCGCTGTAAGGGTTTTTGGTGAGTGTCGCAGCGGATTAACACGAATTTGGCTGTGTCTAGTGACGAGTGGATGTTGGAGGTAGGTGCACAGTGCAGTGATGTCACATTGGCTAGTTGTGACTGCATTTGGGATCGTAAGTTGGCGAGGCTGCGTGACTGGTCGAATGGTGAAGTGTCACTGGTAAAAAATTCACCCGGTACTCTGAGTGGTTCTCCATACACTAGCTCCATGACAGAAGTTCCCAGGTCTTCTTTTGGGGCAGTCCTCAAACCGAGCAGTACCTATCCCAGTTCATCGAGCGAGTTCGGGCTTTGGAGTCTTGCTTTGAGAGCACTCTTAAGGGACTGGTGGAATCACTCAATCTGTCCATTGGATTGAGGGTGATAGGCTGTTGTATGATGGTAGGCGCTCGGCCATCTCTCTCCACAAGGCAGAAGTAACCTGAGGGCCTCTGTCGGACGTGATGTCGATGGGGAAGCCAAAACGGGCGATCCAGTGATTGATTAGCGCACAGCCACTTTCTGTTGTTGAGGTGTCCTTGAGAGAGATAGCCTCTGGCCATTGTGTCGTTCTGTCAATGATTGTGAAGAGGTGAGTGAACCTCTGCGATGGGGGTAAAGGACCTACAAGATCGACATGAAAGTGACTGAACCTCTTTTCAGGCTCTGAAATCTTCTCGATGGGTGCCTTAGTATACTTTTGCACTTTGGAAACTTGGCAGTCCATACATTCCTTGGCCCACTTGGAGACTTCCTTCCATAGCCCATGCCAAACAAATCTCTGGGATATCAGGCAGCATGTAGCCTTCCTTCCTGGGTGCAGTTTTGTATTTTCTGATAAAAAGAATGTTTGATTTGTGATGTCACTAGTAAAAAGTCATTCATCATTTTACAGAATAGTTGTATTTTGATAAAAATGCAAGACATCTCCTTTTCACATCTTTCCTGTCTCACACGGAAATTTTTTTAAACTACAAACCATGTTCCCACATTGCATGTAGCCTCACATGAAGTATACATGTACTGTATATGTTCCTTGCTCAGGTCTGGCCTATCAACCACTTCCCAGAGCAAGAGATCAACTCAGCTTCTAACAATCTTGTCCACCAGCACAGCTCAAAATTCCCAAGCGAAAGAATGCTGATGCAGGTATATCGGTTTTGCTTAGCCAGAGATTTGAACCATAAGACAATAATTGACTTTCTGAAGTTAATTGGGGTTTATAATAGTTTAAAACATTTGTAAGAATAAAATGGGCATTTTAAAGCTGTAGTTCAGAAATAAGAGTAAGGACAGTTATAAAAAGAAGGAAGTCAGAGATGATACAAGTAAATACAGTTGAATCCGCTCAAACTTAAACCGAACGCAGTTAATCCGAAAACAGCAGTAAACCGAAAGAAAATAAAATCGGCAATTTTTTTTCTGCAGTTTGAGCAATCTCTCTGAACTGAAAACCTAGCTGAACCGAAGAAACTCCAAAGAAACATACACTTACAAGAGCAATGATGTGTTTTACCTGCATTAGAAGGCTCGCATCCCTTGCTGTGTGTAGTGGTTCTGTTTGCTATACTGCATAACTTACTGGATGAGGAGGTGGGGGGGGGGGGGGGGGGGAATGACAGGGTTACTATGTGCTAATGTTTATGAATATGAGCCATAAATAATGTAGAACATGCGATGAGTGCATGTTCCCCAATATGTCAAACCAGGTTGAATTGAGGAAGTGCTGAGACTTGAGTCAGCTGACAAATTTTGTACAAGTAAAAATACCTTAAGACAACAGCAGCACAACCTGTGACACTTGCTCTCTTTCTCCTCTATACAGCGTCATCGAGTGAGAATCGTTCCAGTCACCCAAGTATTCTACAAATACAAAGACGATCAAGACTCTTTCTTTGTGTATGGTTTCGAGCACAAAGTTCACGCTCCGGACTACCCAGCCCAGTGTTGCTGTGGCTGCAGCATACTGTAGGGCATAGAGGTTGTCATCTATCAACAGAGGGGGCACGTTAACCCTACCTGCTCCAAATGTCGATACATCAGTGCTCTCCTTTACACTTTTTGCTATGAACTGATAATTTGTGGTATGAAAAAGTTTGATAAATTGGATTATCCCATTGTCTTCAAGAACATAGAGCTGTCAGATGCTGCATAACCCTCTTCAAAGATGTTCTGCTCCTAAATGGAAGAAAGTAGAGCAAAAGAGATCAAGGGGAGAACCTGTGTGTTTATGAGTGTAGTATGGCAGGTGTGACTTGTTAATTTATTTTAATAACATCACTGAGTTTCCGTGCAGACACCACAACTGAATCCAGCAGAACATCGGTAGGACTAGTACTGGAACTGTTAACACTAAATTGTAAGATATTTCGTAACATAGAAATTGCAGTGGTGTGAAAATGTGGAACTCATTGTGAAAGGTGCAAGGCTGTTGGTGTCATGACATGATGGAATCGGACGCTCGTCAGTTTTTGGGCACATGGAGTAATTGATAATAATCTTGAAGCCCCTTCATTTGCCTTGCTTTTGATGAAAAACATTCCTATAAATGTTGTATAGATGTTGAGATAAAATTGGTGTTCAGCCCAAAACAACAACAACAAAAAAGATAAAAATTGCCAAAAAGGTGAAATTTTTTTTTTCTATTTCATTATTTTGACGAGTGCCTGATTTCACCACGATGCCGCACATTTGGTTTTATCAGTGATTTTGTCTTTCTCTCCAAGCAATGTATTTTTATTACATCATGTCCAGTCCACGCCGGCTTTAAGCACAGTCATCGGGAGAAAGCTGAAGCGTGCTTAATGCCAAAGTAGATATAATCCAGAGATTTTCATGTTGAAAATTTCCTGTGCTATTTCCCTTTGTAAGTAGATCTAGGCCTAATATAGTGGTCCTGCAAAAGTGTGCACTGTTATTTTTACCCGCCATGATAGTTTTCATTTGTTTCTTTGTTTGTTTTGTTTTGTGGTCGAATGGGAAATGAAAACTTAAATGAGACGGCCAGTCACGATACAGCACACATGGCCTACACACTGCCTGTGCTTACCACTGCACGCTGTACCACATTCATACCACCGCGTTCACCCCCCAAATACGGTCTTTGATCCCACCTCGTGCGTGATACCAAATCAGGATTATCGGATAGTGAGGGGCAATAAGGTGAAATCGCAGTCTGCCTCCTTTTCTCATCTCCCCGACTCTCTTTGTATTTTTTTTGTCTGTGTGTAGCATTGCCCTAGGCTAGAGATCCTATGACCACGCGTGCGGCTGTGTGCATCTCTCTGCCTTCCTCTCAGCGCATGTGTGTGTGTGTCCATCACTTACGCTGTTTTTGTTTCTCTTAACACACTCACTGCTGAGGTGTAGACTGTGTTCAAACTTCGATGGGTCTTCATAAAAGTATTGAGTGTCTTGTAAATAAAGCGTGCCTGAAGCCGAAGTTACCGTGCTTAAAGGCGTGTAATTTATATTGCAAAAATTCGGTAAGAGCCGTTTAGCGTGCCTGAGTCCGAAACGTGCTTTGTGCCGGGGTGCTTAAAGCCGACGTGGACTGTACCAGCATGAGTAATTTTTTTTTTTATGCTTAGTTCCCACTTGAGCGGAAAAAACTGATGAAAATAAGCGTGTGTCATCCCACAATTAAATCCTACTTTCAAAATACTCATTTAACTTATAATCACATACACATGTTGAGTTATAAGCTGTCTCTTTCAGAACTTTTGATTTTAGCATAAAAATAATATCATCAGTGTTATTCTACAAGGGCTTAAGTAATTTTTACAAGTTTTGAGAAAATAGAATAGAAGAAAAGAATAGTGCCCAAATCAGTACCATGACATAGTAGCTTGTTATTTTGCAGTTAAACTAGGAAAGAAATTAAATAATAAAACAGAACAGAAAAATATTGTAAGATGCTCCTTGGTGTCTTTATTTGAATAATCACTTTATCTGGAAAGTGACAGAAATTGATTTTGGCAATTGTGGAATGACGCTGATGTTTAAAACTTCAACAGAATACTACTACTGTACTGTAAGCACAAAAGTGTTGTAGTTGTCGTAAATGATTTCAACATGAGATACATGTACTGATACACTAGCTGTTTATGTGTGTCAAACTCAACTTTCTGTGTGATATGGGAAATGTCAAAACTGGAGAACATGTGACACTATTTCGATGGTTTAAAAAGATAAACTGAGCACATGCTGGTGGAAGTTCTTTAAAAAATATATCTTAATTTATCATAAGCTCATCACAAAATTACTCTCCTGAAATGGAAATTGGTCATAAAAGTCTCACACCTAAGTCCATTTGGTTGTACAAAGCGTTTAAGGATGGTAAGATTAAGTGTGTGGGTTTAACGCCCTTTTTAACACTCGTAGGTTGTTTAAGAGGAGGGACTTCAGAACTTGACACCTGTCTCAGATAGTATCGAGTCAAATGGGGCAAGAGCCTTGAAAACATCACAAAACGACCAGAGTTCAAGAAAGCTCAGTCTTGGATTTGTACAAAGGCCATCCGCTCCAAAGTCCAAAATGATACCAACTGAGATAACACACCCATTTGAAGGATGGGATGGGGAGACTTTTTGCGGTGTAGGTTTAGTTAGACAAAATTCAGCTACTCTTTAAAATGAAAAAGGGACCAAGTTTGCATGCCAGAGGAGAGTAGTTTTATTGTTTATTTTGTGTGGACCGTTGTTGATTTTTTCGAGACTGTTTTTTGCCAAAATGATTGTTCACATTCACCATTATAATATATTGTACTTTGTAATGCATTATTAATTTAAACCCTGATATGTTTGCTTAATACACCAATACATGTAAAACAAATTCCAAGAGGAGGCACTGTGTTTTGACTGCAGTATTCTTGCCTTAGAGTAAAACTAGAATATTTTGCTGATACTTATCAAAATATATGATGCTAAAGAACCCACATCTATTTAAATACATACCGGCCGGGTATGTATTATTACATATTAAGTGCATTAACATTTTTTTGTTAAGTAAAGCTTTTGTCTCATTATCACAAGTAAGTGCAAAGCTGTGTAGGTTACTGGTATGCGCTTTAGTTTCCATTAGACTGGCAGTAGTTTTTGCTTGTAGGCCTACTTTTAAATACTTACTACAGTACAGTTTCAACCTTTTTGCATCATATCACACATAATGTGTGGCGACTCTCTCAAGCGTTTGCTTCAAGTATGTGGGCTGTCATTAGCGCAACCCTTAATTAACCTGCCATGGATATCCAAGAGTCCAGACTATTTTATTTTTTGAGTAAAATTAAAAAGGCAGGATTATTTCTTTCTTTTTATCATTCTCTTTTGCTTTTGTGGCTACTATAACATTAACCTACAACAAGTTAGCCTTTTTTTAGAACAATATTCAACATCCTAAGTTGATGGTATCGGTAGATCTAGCTTTGCCTCTGTCTTGTCACATGATGGTGCTCTCGAGGAGAGAACATGAGTATCTTACAACCATCAAGTTCAAGGTTTTGAGAGGCTATTTTTTACTAATAGTTCTGATAATAAAATTAATTTTGATGAAGTGTTGGTTTTTTTGTGTGTTTTTTGTTCGTGCCCTGATTTTGAATGATAAAGTTGATACATGTACATGAATGATTACAATGAATCAGATTTATTTTTACAGCTCCCTTTTATTCATGCAAGTTTGGATCAGCGAGTCTTGTGCATAGATTAAGTGCAGATCTTGAATCTGAAATTGTGGCATTGGTTGTTTAGTGGTTAGGCTTCCGGACTAGAATTGTAAGGTTCAGGGATTCTAGCCTCAGGCCCGAAATTGTGTCCTTGGGAAAGGCACTTTACACTAATTTTACTCACTTCACTGAGGTGGGAATGACTTCCAGGCGATAGACAGCGGAAGATCTTGTCAGTATGTTACTATTTTTTTGTTAGTGATTTAGCACCTACCGTACATGTACTTATAAAATGGCAGCTTGCATTCATGAATTCTACCCAGGAAGTTGAGGTTGTTTCAGAAGGCTGTTGGAATGATTAGTTTTGCTGGGGGTAACAATATATATAGATTGTAAAGCACATAATATGTGTCACGACGCGGTGGCATCAGGTGCTTGTAAATATTTGGGCATGTGGAGTTGTTGGTATCGTCTTTTTTTTCGTTTGTCTAGCTTTCGATGAAAAAAATATCCTTTTATCTTGAATACAAGTTGAGATATTTACGATTGAAGGAGGTGAGGATCACCTGGTCTGAGAGGTAATATTAGCGAGAAAATGGTCGCCAAAGTTTAGTTATTTCCTAAGCTTGAGTGTCCGTGGAAACAGAAAATTTACACTTTTTTTACACCGTTAATTTGATGTTTTTCAGTAAAATCCACACAGAAATGTGTTCTTAAATAGACATGAATGGAAGGTGTTGAGCCAAAAAACAAAAATTCCATAAAAATTACCAAACTGGAAAAATGAGTTTCTTCACTTCCATTATTGTGACGACTGTCTGATTTCACCAAGCTGCCTAACATAAAATAGCTCGCTGTTCAGCGTGGATTAGCACTCTACAAATGCTGTCTATTAATTATTTATACATGTAATTATGGTTAGAATCTAGATTAAGATTGAATAATGCAAATGCAACTTCATCAAGCAATGATAGTGACAGGCCTCATGGTAGTGGTACATTGTACTAGTACTGTACATGTCGACAGAGGAAATTGGGGTATTATTTAGTAATGGAGTAAATGAGTAATGACGACATAGAACCTTAATGTGGAATATTACAGATTGCCTTTAAGTTAAGTTTAACTTTAGTTGATTTAGTTTCATGGTCTCATGTAGTTTGGGCTAACATTTTACATTAGGCTCTATATTTTTGTCCATCCTCTTGTACCTAACAGTAGTAACAGTTGTAACAGACATGAATTGCTCAGAACAAATTTTGTAAAAAAAAAAATTGTTTGAATTGTTATTGTTGATGCTTTACACTGTATCGTCTGTATCCCCCTCTTGACAAAATTAAGATAATTTGGGTGGCAGGTTGCTTCAAGCTTGTCTGTCAGAGCCGGCCATGGACTTCAAGGGATACAACATTCTTCAGGCAGACAGATGGAGATACTCAATAAAATAAACTTTCTGAGTGCTTTAGTTTTTTAAAGTTTTATTAAAGGTTTTATGGCGCTCGCAACTGCATAAGGTCATATGAGCGCCATTTCTGAGTGCAGCGGCACAGCGCCTTATTAATATTACTACAGTTGACTACGGATGAGTTGATGTAGTCATGGGAGGGGAAAAAAAGATAAACTCGTCGGTAATTCAACTTAACGATTGGGACCAGTACTGTAAAAAGAGGTGCTGGGATCTGAGAATAAGATCAACTTAACCCAAGATCAACTCAAGCAAGTTCAACTCAGTCACAAGCAGAGTTGACAATATAGTGAAAATCAGATTCAAGGAAAGGAGATGGAGTCCCCATTATTTTTCTTCTTTAAAATCAATAAAAATAACCCGGATTCAACTAACTCTTAAATCAGCAAGCTCGAATTCAACGAGGTCACTTCCAGGGTGAACAGCCCCTGCAGATGTTGCTTCGCTCATTTTTCTCCCACAACGAACTAGATCTTTTCCCAGAAACCATCCATTGCACCTACATCGTGAACCATTATTCACGTAGCCGATTGCATGCGACCAATCAGCGGCCTTCTTTTTCATACTAACACATGCGTTGTTGGCACGAGCATGTGTTTACTCTAGCTTGCGTCGGGGTCAGATGGGCACCACTTGTTACTTCTCTTTACACATAACTTGCTCAGTGCGAGTAATTATCTATACAAAACCTCATGTTTGCTATGACGAACTCTCGGATTCAACGAGATTTTAGGTCAGGCCTGGCGACCTCGTTGAATCTGAGTTCCACTGTATTACACCAGAGACCAGTATAGTAAATGCACCTTTTTTTATGTCTATTTACCCCCAAATACATGTACTTTCGTCTCCTGAGAACTCTCAGGGCCAGAACAGAGCTTACTGAGGGAATGCACACACATACTTATGGACGGAGGGTGGGGCACAATTTGAAAAGGTTAACCCTATCCGTACGTTGTGTTTTACTATCGTATCCATATGACGTGGGGAACTCTGTGCCACCACTTTCCAAAGAGGAAATTAACTCATTATACAAATTATTGTTATGAAGTCACAGAGCTAATTACATGTAACTTATTGTAACACCTCTGTCAATGAGGGCTGTCCAAATGCTTGAATCAGTAGTATTGTATGGGAAGGAGCACACCAGTTGGTGGGACAGAATGAGTGAAACGGGAAGGAGGAACATCTTTAACACTTTGCCTTCACAAAGCTCATATAGAGTAAAAACCCTTGCCATCAAAGGCAAAGACATTTTGGGGGAAATCCAAAGAAACTGGGCGGTAAACATTGCCGATCGGCGAGATGTGACGGCAAAGTGTTAAAATGCTCTGTGAAAATGATTTAAATAGATGACGTGTAAAATGTCTGTTAATACCAGCACCAGTGAGTAATCCAAAAGGTCAGGACAAATGAAATGTATAAGCCCACCTCTGATATGACTTTGCAAAATTTCCCAATTACAGACCAAGTAAGTCTAACAATATAAAAATCTAGGCAAACGGCTATAATTAGGTGGAGATCACTGCAAATGAACCCTTGGGATTCTCATAAGTCTTAGTGTTTTACGGCACTAGCAACATAATAAGGTCGTATAAATGCCGAAGATTAGAGGTGTTACAAGAGAGTAACAAACACAAAAAAGGAGGGAAGATAAAGACGATAGACGTTTGATAGGAAAGAAGAAGCAAACCACACTAGAGCACCCACCAAACAACCACACATTCTCATAAGACCTAGTCACAGTATAGAACTTCTGTCTTTACATTCTATCAGATACCTCAGCACATGTAGGCCTACTTGTATCGTACTGAAATATTTCCACAAAAACACTTTGAATGCGAACCCAAATTCTGGCAATTTAAAAGTCACATTTTGACTGAATGGAATACAAAAACAAACATGAAGGAAAAGAAAAAAATCACAACATCAGTTCAAGTTTTTTTAAATTTATTGAATTCCAACCGATAGTGTGATGAAGTGCTGATGAGATGGGGAGGACAAAACAAACATCGAAAGCATGAACTGTCAGACAAAGCCACAATATTAAGGTCTAGTGCTTTCAGTGGAGACACATCAAACCAATAAGCGACCACACTAGGACAGGGGTCTTTAACCTATTCAGTTTCATAGAGAAAGAATTAGACCACCTCTCAAAATAAAGGGCTTTGACCTAACGCTTCCTTGCCAGTGCAGCGCGTGTGTACTTGCTCAGGGCACACATGTGGCTCTGGTCAGGAATGATGAAGCGGTACTTTTTTCTCACTATCAATTTGTATCATGATTGGGAGTTTTATTGAATTCTGTTTAAAAATCAATGAACGATTCTTTTACTTGAGGGAAGTACACTGTAGCTTGAAAGCTGGGATAAACAATATGGGTTATGATAAAAGAACCATTCTTTTATTAGCAGAAAAGTAAGTGGCTTATGAAATGGGCTCTATCATTGCTTTACAAGAAAGCAGCATGAGACTGCATCATTGCAGAAAGAAAAAGAGCATTACAAAAGCTACTTATTATTGGTAGAAACAGAACTTTTATGACACAAAATTGAGATCTAAAAACAGGGCCACAGCCTCTGTGTCATGAGCTATTCGTACTACCAGTTACAGAATCCCCTTCCTGTAAATGTTAAAAACCCAGAAGCCAAAGAGAAATATTTTCATAGATTCCATCTCCATAATATCCTTTCCACCTAACAAAGCAACGATGAATAAAGCAAGCAGTGTGAACACACAAGTGGATGACATGCTGGATACATAAAATGAACGGACTGGCCAACAGTGCTAAAACTTTTGGATGGATGATGCTCATACAAAGTAATGACTGGTTGCTTTATAAAAAGAAAGATAAAAAGAATGGCTCGGCTTGCACTGCTAGTCTACCACAATTCCCCATCTCGGTCTTTGGCTGGGACTTCGATGACACGAGGCTTGTCTATGATGCGGGCTGTGCGATTGCCTTTCTCCACAATGCCTATGATCCAGGACTGATAGCCTTCCTGTTTCTCAATGTCCTTGCAGAAGGCGGCTGCTTGTTCCCTTGGGAGGGCGACCAACAAACCACCTGGGAAAAAAAGTACAGGGGGTTATGTTATGAACATTTTTGGGTCTTTTTTTTCATCGCTGAAGACTCTTTGAGCTCACAGAAACTCCCTCCAAAGAAATATGTTCACACACACAGAAAAAACTTTTTTTTTCCTATAGCACCTACCACCTTTAGCTTTTGACACAATGAAGCTCATGTCATAAACAATCCTACTGTTACAGTACCGTGGAGATCCCCTAAAATCAAAAATGTTTAAATCTGAAAGAAAACACAATCCCCAATTTTTTTGTCTCTGTAAGAAAACTATTAATTGGTTGACAAAAAGGGAAGGTGAAAGTGAAAGCAGATGACAGAAAATGATTACAGAGCAGGAAAAGAGGCGAAGGAGAACTAGAACATTTTTAGAGAATAAAAAAAATTTCTGTCCCTGTCAGGTTACAAACCTGTGACCTATTGAAATAGAAAATACAAAGGGAATTCAGAGGGCTATGTTGTCTAACTTTTCACTAGCGACCCTCAAGTAATGCAAATGATCAAGTCTTCAGTGCTTTAACTCATTCGCTACGTCTTATTTTTGGCCTGTGGGCGAATTTTTTTCGGGAGGGCGAAATGAGATGATGACTAGTGTGCAGTTAAAAGGTCTTTGGGGTCACAAATTCAAATAAATAACATATTATACACCGAAATTTAAAGTATGATTCGTAGAATACATCAGTATTTATTTTTTAAAAATATTTTTCAACTTATGGTTCCTGTAAGAGGTGATAAGATTATGCGGATAAAATTTGAAAATAAAAAGCTTACCGTAGTGAAGTCACTTAATCAGCGCCGGCGTAGCGAATGAGTTAAGAGTGAAACAGGAAAGAGATAGGAGAATGCATTATGTGTCACGATGCGGTGGAATCAGGCACTTGTCAATTTTTGGACATGTGGAGTTATTGGTATCATGTTAAAGCTTGTTCATTTGTCTTGCTTTCGGTGAAAAAAACTCGACTGAAGGAGGGGGGGGTGGCCTGGTTTCAGAGGTAAAATTAGCGAGAAAACGGCCGCCAAAGTTTTTAAAAATAACTTTTAAAACATTTTTAGTAAGGTTTTGCAGCCCCCACCACTGCATAAGATCATATGAGCGCCAAGGGGTGGATGTCAACAGAGATTCAGAGAAGTCCCAATAGAGAATCAGGCTTACTCTGCTCACCTCTCTAGCCCTAACAGTACAAAATCTGCTTCGACTATAAAGGCACCCCGGAAATAGCAGCTCACAATAGAGTGACAAACATACAAAAAAAGAAGAGGAAAAATGACAATAGTAAAGAGAGGAAAGAAAAAGCAGCAGTTCTCCCATTTGTTCCGGCACAGTACGAGCATGACATTGATAAATCAGCCCATTCACAAATCCACTGCGCATAAGTACATGTTAATATTCCCCCTTTGGGAATGGCCAAAAGACACTTCAGTCAGTAACACTGCCCTGTTAGGGGAAGCCGCCAAACTATGTCGACTTTCAAAGCTAAAGAATCCTTAGAAACTGCAAAAGTACATTTTTTGTGTCTTAAATCAACATTTTTCAGTAAAATACAGAAGATGTTTTTGAATGGACCTTAACTCACTCACTGCCATGCCCGAACCCTGTTGAGTGATCCGCGTAGACCGCTACCTGCCAAACCCGAAACCTGTCGGTTGCATTTTTACTATTTTTCAAACATTCCCCGGCGTGTTTCGGGCTTGGCAGTCAGAAGTAGGCGACATAAGCCAGTTTAGTTTCGATTCCGCATTGTTGCAGTAACTTCTCTTGAATAAGTTACTTAAAAATTAAACTTTTTCGAACTCATCCGAAACGAACTAAAAACTACTAACGCTCAGTTACAATGGCGACAGCGTCTCAATGAGGTTGGAACATTTGAATTGAAGGACCATTTTGTCAATAAAGGGTCAGATTTAGATATTTTTGCAGACATGATAGTGAAGATGAGCCATCATACAGAGTTGATAATGAGTATAGGGAAGGAAAGGCTGAGAGCGAGAGAGATGGGCCGGACACCCTGATTGAACTAGTTTAGTACTGTTAAAATGAGTTTTTTTTAATGTTTGTATTCACGGGAGGTGGGTTCCTTCCCCTTGCTTAGGGTTTGGGGGTAGACTTCCCATACAGACCATTAGGGTGCATTATATATTAAATATATTAAAAGCAAGACGTGAAATTCAAAATGACATCCTGATCACGAGTATTGCGTGAGGCTAATCACTTCAGTATCATCAAGATGATAATCCAGTTGAGAAGAAAGCAAGACGGTCGCAAAAAAAAAAAAAAAAAAAAAAAAAAACCTCCACAAAAAAGAACAAAAAGGCAGGGATAAAGGAAATGCCATTTACAGGGCACGACAAAAAGCCCATTTCATGAAAGCTAGGATAAAACTGATTACAAATGAGGCCTTGTCCAGAAATGCCCAGTCTATGAAGGTTTGTGGCTAAGAAGATGGCAAAGTCCCCATCCAACTAGATAGCGTAAACACGGCATCGCGAGCACTCGCGGCCTTCCGACGCATGGTATCAGTGAAATCGGGGCAATTCCGATCGCTGTTTCTTTGCTCTTTCGCTATAAAACACCAAAAGCCGTACACCTTGTAAAAGTTCAGCTTTTCCTCGTTACAATGGTGTAAGTTGTTTTTATGTCCGATTAGTAGGAGCTGGAGAATCGCCGACGAAAGCAAAGCCCCTCCCTTAAAATTTGACTGAGAGGTTAAAGAATGGTACCAAAATGCTCAGTGGATATAGGCCTTTCAAATGGAACTGATAAATTTGGCATACAGCTACTTTGAAAATTTAGTTTCTGGTACCTAATCCAACCCTTGTGCTATACATGACCAATAGCTGAATAAATTTTCAGTGCACTGCCAGGCAGCCTCTAGCACTTGGAAGGACTACATCAACTTGTGATCCTCAAAAACGCTGACAATTTAAATGGTTGTTTTACTGACCCGAAGTTTCTGCTGATGTCCCTTGCAAAAGACCGAACAGGTTGCCGCATGCTTTGCTGATGGCGGCCATTTTGGCAATGACGGGTAAGTTGTGAATGACGAAGCCGACCTCGTTTTTCTGCACCTTGGCCAGGTTGTTTGCATGGCCAAGGAGTCCAAAGCCAGTGACATCAGTGGCTCCGTGGGCATTGTATTTGTGCATCAGCCTTGCAGCTGTCAAAAAAAATATTTGCAACAGCATTGTAATCCAGCCATTGGCCCAGAGCTCAGAAGTGGTACACATTATTATATTTGAAGCCTGTAATAATGGTGGTTTGACCTAATTCAAAAAATTGAAAAGCAAACCAATAGTTGCGAATGTATAAAAATTACAATAAATGTGTTGTGCCTCTTGCACATTTCTGAAATCTAGATTCTTTAAGTTAAAAGGCCAAAGTGACTTCCCAGCTTAGTAATCATTTCTCCTTAAAACATGGCCACTTCTTTTAAACATAATAGTTCAATTCCTTCAGTAGGGACCTACCCACAATTGAGTTGAGTGGCAGCATGACAACTGTCAAATTTCATCACAAACAAAGGACATCATCAGAGCGACCTAAAACAAAGTAACCCCCCTCATCTCATTTCCCCTTCTCACCTGTCCTGTTAAGCCTTGCCATGCTGAACATTGCTCGCTGGTATGCTTTACGCACATCATCCTCCGACACAACCAGCTTGATGCGATTCCACCTCTCGGGTTGGTCCAGCCACTGGTAGGCATTCACGGCCACCTGGGTACCCAGGGGCTTGGTCAGTACCAGGACATCTCCCACCACAGCGTTGTCAGGCCTGGGGAAATAAAACAAATACAAATCACGTCCTAAGTGGTTACAAAGAACATAAGAATTTTAAATTTTACTTTTCTCTTTTACAGTATAAACGTGAGTTAACGAGAAGCATGTCAAAATGACAACAGCCATTGACACAATTTGTACTGTGCATAGGTTTCCAGTGCTCACAATTCGCTTTTGTTTGGTGGGTTTTTTTAATCGTGCTCGAAACTCATAAGGGGTATATATATATATATATATATATGAGCGCACGGGACACATTAAAAATAGAGCTCACAATTCATTCACACATGACTCCACGGGCATTCCTTCTTTGGAAAAAAAATCAAACAATACATTTTTTCGCAGTGGCTTTCCTTGAAAAAAGAAAGGAGGGAGAGCACTAAAGAAAATCTAACACTCAAGTCAAGATCATTTTAGTGCTTATTTTTTAAATTTTATTATAGTAGAGGGTTTTACGGCACTCGCAACTGCAAAGGTCATATGAGCGCCAAGGGGTGGGTGTCAACAGAGAAGTCTTTACAGGGAATCAGACCCACTCTGCCCACCTCTCTAGCTTCAACAGCACAAGGTCTGCTTTAACTATCAAGGCACCCCGGAAATAGCAGGTCACAAGAGAGTGACAAACATACAAAAGAAGTAGAGGAAAGTGACAATAGTAAGGATTAGGAAAGAAAAAGCAGCAGTTCCCTGTTGTAGATCAGGTACAGTTATGAGCATGACTTGAATCAGCCCATTTTTTACTGCACTTGAACGAGAAATGTTGCCCCTTTGGGAATGGCCTAAAGACACTACAGTCAGTGGCACTGCCACGGGGGTAGTGCTTATTTGAATCATAGGTCAGTTAGTTTGAATACAATGAACAATGGCAAAGTGACCCTACACAGTTGAGAGGTGTTGAATGGGATTATTATGGATATGGCTGTCAGTAAAGAAGAAGACATTGAAAATAGTGCTGATTCTGATTATATTTACTAGCAACGCCAATTGGCCTTCCGCGCGCTGTGAAATTTTGGTCCCCATTTGTGAGTGAATTTTTGGAACAAGTTGAAACGAAAGTGACTAACTTTCTCAAATTTATTCGGCTCTATTTCAGGACCAAAGGGAATGAAACTTGGCAAGCAATCAGAAAATAGGGCAAAACTAAAGATATGCGGACGTTGAAAGTTTGAACACATAAAGTAACTTCTGTTTCGGAAACACATTCGTATCGGGTGTTCCTTAAACTATTAGGAGCATGCTTTTTATTTTTGAGAAGGTAATAGATCTTTTTTTTGTCCCGTGTCCTGATTTTGGTGCCCTTATTCCTTGGTTACGTAAAAATGTACTGACATGGTGCAAAATGTTATGTTTTCTAGCAAAACGAAACAAGAAAAAGGGGAATTGTTAGGTCGGTGATGATGATGATGATGATGAAGGTAATAGATCTATCTTCCTCTATAGAGTCCTTAAATTTAAACGTTCTGTGTCAAGTAGTGGTATAGAATTTATCATAAATGTACCACTACCCCCCCCCCCCCTGTCCAAAGCGGCTTTGCACGGAGACCGGCCATTTTCCCCTCACTCCCTTGACAAATGTATGTGACCTACAAATCCCTGCATTTTTCCAAGCCCGTTCATTGGTCACTAGAAATAGGGCAATGGCGGGCGTGCACATCTGGTTGTTTTTCTCTGTTTCCCTGTAACATTGCAATGGGGGTATTCCGAGGTCAGCTTATCTCACCTCGGGTGTTCGCGTCTCGAAAGGGAAAGTTTTAATTGAACGGCATGTTTGAATTGAATTATTTTTTTATGGTGGTCATGGTCTAAAGTCATCAAAGAAAGCTTTGCCATGGTTTTTTTTTTTTTTTTATAGTAGAGTGTTTTACGGCGCTCGCAACTGCATAGGTCATATGAGCGCGCGGGACACACCTAATATTTTCAGTTGGTAGGAAATTTTGAATTTTGCCCGGGTGGCGGCCGAAGCCTACTCTTATCGATTTTAGACCACCAAGGGATCTTTAACGTGCGCAACTTGCACACGGGCCCTCCGAGATTTTTCGCCCTTGTCCGAGAAGGCTAGGTGTAGATCTTTCCTACCAGAAGATCAGGGGTGTGGCTGAAAGACTGCAGTAAGAAGAAGCGAAGGAGTAGCAGTAGAAAGGCTACAGAAAGAATCAGGAGCCCAGAGGAAGGGGCAAAGGAGGTGACGGGGTGAGGGCAGAAAGTGGAGACGAAAGCAGACGACAGAACATTGCTAGAGAGTAGGAAATGAGGTGAAAGGAGACAAATTCAGAGAAGAAAATTTTTCGGTCGCTACCCGGATTCGAACCCGGGACCTTTTGAGTGAGAGGCCAACACCTTAACCTCTAGGCCACGAGAGCCCCCTTGCCATGGTTAAGTCACGCTGCAAACCATGTTGTCCTCCCGACACTTAGTTACATTCAGGCTTAATCTTATACAAAAAAACTAAAGTTGTCTTAGTCTAATACTTTAATTTGTATGATTTAAAAAAAAATTGGCATGAACTTGACTTTCCGAAAAATTCCCAGAGACGTGACAGGTAGAACGAAATTCACAACAAATATAAAAATAAATGTTCTGTCTTGATTTGTATGCATGTGAGAGTGTTTGGTGGTGAAAATATAAAAGCTGGGCTGTGCGTTGATTCAGACCCATACACTGAATTACATGAGACATGTAGGGCACGGCGTGATTTCACTGCGCCAACAACAGCACCAGTACTAGTGCTAGATCTAGCCCTAAAACTACGACTCGGGCCGTGTTCGGGTACATATCCAGGGTCCTAACTGTCAGACACATCATATTCTGAGACACAAGAACCAGTAAAACAAACTGAAGTATCAAAAACAGCAAAATTATATGATTCTTGTTCATGCGCTTTTTCGACCGTTACTACGATGAGACTGTCAAATTACTATCTTTATAGAAAAAACACAGCGCGAGTTCAGGTCAGTTCAACCCCAGTTGGGGTGACTGTCCTTCACCATCAATAACTTAAAAGTTAAGCGTTTTACGGCGCTAGCAACTGCATAAGGTCAAATGAGCGCACCAGACACATTAAACATTTTCAGTTTGTAGGAAATTTTGAATTTTGCCCGGATGGCGGCGGAAGCCTACTCTTATCAATTTTAGACCACAAAGGGATCTTTAAAGGGTGCAACTTGCACACGGGACCTCCCAGATTTTCACCCTTGTCAATTTGCAATATATACACCAAAATTTTAATATAACAAAGAAAAAAAACCCCTACGTAATGGTGAGTAAATCTGACTGCAGAAATGATTCTCCTCCCCAAAAATACATTGGGAAGCCAAATTTCTTTCCAACACTCCAATTAATTACTGAGATGTCTTAGATTTTCTAATAGAGTCTGTTGTTACGTGGTCCACTTCTTAGGAGTATTTTCCTATACATCGTCGCCTGAATCATGTACTATCATAACTGACAAAAATGGGGTTTCGAGCTACAGTGGTTTAAAGTTTTGCGCAATTTTTCTAACCCTTTTGTGAATGAACGGAACATAATATCTTATTGATTTTTGGTTTGTATATAGACTATGCTATATTTTCTGTCACTGCTTCAGAAAATCAATTTAATTGCTTACTTAGTGAAATAATGACTAAACATACAGTAATTTTTAGAACATATTGAACTCTGGGGGTATACCACTATGCCGGGGCCCTCCCTTAGTACGAAATCAAAAATTGACATACCTCACTAAATAAATGGGTCATAAAATCAAAACAAGAGAACATATTTTGACAGTTCTTCGTCTAATAAATGAACTCCGGGTTAAAGAGTCCTGTTTTTAGTATTTGCAGAAAAGTAATTTGATGTCTCAGTTGTCATAAAGGAATGTCCCTAAGCTGCTGCCAGCAGCTCACTGACACAGCGGTTCCGACTGTGAGATGCTGGGAACGGCTTGCCAGAGATAAGGAGAAAATATTGTAAGTCACATTTTATACCCATCCTTAATAATACAATGGGACAGAGTTGGAGAAGTTAAGTGGCTTATGATAGTATTATGCTTGTAACCCCCCCCCCCCCGAAAAACTGCACACTCACATGATGTACTCATTAGACTGACACACTGAGGTTGCCACACCGCCGATGGTCATCCATGGATTAATCACTGTTTGGCCACCAGTTACTTGAGTTCCGGCTTCTTCTGCTGCATCCTATAAATAGTTGGTCCACACACAGAGTGACGAACACAGAGAAAAGACATTCAAAGGTGAAAAAATGAAATCATGCTGAAGCCCATTATTTTTCTTACTTGAGCTACATAAAATGTAGAACTTGTGCTGCTCCAGACATTCCTGTATATAATGGACGAAAGCATCAAATTCCAGAACACTAAAAATAAAATCTCAAGATAGCAGTTAGTTGCATAACTGTACCTCAATTATCTCTAGATTACTGGCCACAAGAAAAACCTCTTATCTGTACCGACTCCCAGAAGGAAATTCCAAAAGGAACACACAATCCATGATAATCTGTAGATCTAGCTGCCAACTTCTCAAAACAACCCCCCCCCCCCCCCCAGATGTCCATATTGCGGGTCAAAACAGTAGGCACTGGCCAATTAACCACTCCTCCAAAAGCGATACACATATTTTTTTGCATTCAATAAACTTGTGCTAAAAAGTTAACGCTGGTAAAGAACCCTGCAATAGATTAATGGGCCTCCGTCTCAGTATTTGCCACTTTGATCTTGAAAGTTCATTACTTTTCAGTAACATTCGCTTGTCCATGAGGAGCAACACTAAAAAAAAGAAACTATGTGCTTTGCGACATGGAAAAAGACGTCTATACTTAGACCTTAGACCTTCAAAAACGTATAAGTACATTTTTTACTTACTCGTTAGCAGCTATGATAATCTATGGAAACAACATTTACCCAGTCATGTTAAATCTCTATTCAATAGAATGTATGTCAACCATTTAACTGAAAAATAAAATGAAACTAATTTTCCTAAAGAAAAAAAAGAAAAAAGTCTCTGATAAAAATGCCTTGAATCCACGCATGATGATGGGAATGATGACATCGCGCTCCTTGTCCGTCATTTTGTTGCTGCAGCTCAGCAACATCAGCATGTTGTCGCAGTCTGTGACACCCATGGCAAACAGATCACTCAGGACGTTTGCACATGTGATCTTTCCCTGAGCAATTAAGAGGAACACATAGATTACTTCAGGAAAAGGAGCGCACAGATAGATCTTTGAGGACTTAACCTTATAAGGTCCATCTTTCCCCTTGAAGGCAAAAAGAACACAAGAGCAAGGCAGTCTGAGTCTCTTTTGTTCCAACTGTCCAACTTTTGGGGCCCGAACAGTGGTTGAGGACGGACCTTCAAATCCCTACATCCATGGGCACGGGACAATACCATGAGATTTAATTTAAAGCATTTTCGTAACTTTCATTATTGCATTCATGAAGTAAGGCTAAACAGGTGACACCACATCTTCAGTTATCTATCCTACAGACTTCAGAGAGAGCACAGAAAGCGAGAAAGACTCCAAACCCATCTTTCCTTTCAAACCTCAATTTCTATTAACAACTTTATAATAGACACACAAATTAGGCAATTAAGGACATAATAAAAGTAGTTAAGCTAGCATCTGCGTTTGTCGCGGCTGCTATTTTTGGCATATTTTGGTCCGCGAATTGCGATTTCTGCATATTTCAACAAAAAAAGCTACTTCGTAACAATATTAGACATGTATTTTGATAATTTTAAGGTGTCCCTGTATAGATAATCAATATTTTCCTGCGAAGAATGTAGGTACATTACATTGCTGTTTGTCTTTTATTTTTTCCTTTGTTGTGTTTTAATTGTTCTGATGTGCTGTTTTTCTATTTTCAATATATACAGCACAATGTCATTTAAGGTGATGTTGTTCCTACATTTAAAAAAATATAAATGTGTTATAATTATGTTAGAGCGTGTCTCCACCAAAAACTGAATATTGGCCCTTATGTGTGGTTCCATAATATTTACATGTTAAAATAAAAATATCCTGTACTTTTTTTAAAATTACACTCATTTAGGGTTTAAAAAACGGCCAATCTTTGGATAGGTGGACACACGCCCTTATTCGTTAATTTTCGTTGTTTATGTGCTATTCTAGTTTTGATTTCATTCAGTTGTGAAACTTGTATTTTTCATGTTTTTACACTCTGTGTGGATACAAATGATATTCTGGATGCTTAAAACAGAGCCCAAGAAATTCTGGTGCTTTAGATTAAGTTACCTCTATCAAAACTTTGCTATATACGACATTATCACAGAGAGATGAAAGCTTGAAAAATAATGGAAACTTTTGCCATTTTTGAGTCAACTTTTGGACAAAAAAATGGCAACAAACGCAGATGCTAGGTTAAGTACAGTTGAACATGTGTTAAAAAAACGGCCATCCTTTGTCAAGGAGAAATGTGGCCGTATAACACTGGTGGTTATCTTAGGCTGGACAGGACTGATCAAAACGAAGAAAGCAAACTGAAACCATTCCCTTCTAAGATCCAAACTGGGGCTGATTTCAGGTTTAGGACTGCTTTAGGGTGAATTCAAAAGGGTTTTGGGGTTGTTGTTTTTTTTAAAGGGTTGTGTGTGTGTGTGTGTGTGTGTGTGTGTG